CTGGAGATTAGTGCACCCATGTGATATTTTTCCAATATGTCACTTCTCTATGGAGTTGATCAAGGGCAGCAAACATGACTTAATCCTCCTTCTATCCCCAGCTGTCATGCAGTGCCTGGTACACAGTAGATGTGCAGCAAATCCTGAATTACAACATCACTTTGGAGCAGTGGTATGTCTTGTTTGATTTGGTTTATTTAGGTCAGTTTCCCAACCATTTCTGAGAGATATGCACCTCCATCAACCACAGTGAATGACTTTCTACATTAATGATTCTCAACTGCATAAAGGAAACTAGAAGACTGGGCATGCTGCTCACCTCTCCCAGAAATCTGCAGTTGCTGTTGTATTTTTGTGGGTTGTTTTTTCAGTTGAGTACTCAAACATCCCTAGATTTTAGCAGATTGTTGACAAATGAAATTAAATTAACATCTATATCCAATGTCATGCCCTTGCTCATGAAAAACTCTAGCCCTTGCAAAGTCCATCCTCCTTCCAGCCCCTGGCCCCCAGGTGTTCCTGAGAGTCATCAGGGATATATTTCCTGTGTTCTTGTGGTATCTGCTAACTCCTGCATTGGTTCTTATTACCTTCAAGAGTGTCTCCATAACCACAGCAGGCAAGACACCCTAATGTGAAATCCAGGAGCACTGTTTTTCAAAGTTCCCCTAGCTACTAACCCTGGAGGTGTCAGAGCAGTGCTGGGCTCCTTTCCGTTAGGGAGACTGCTTCTCTCCTGTCTTTGTAGCAAGGTGTTACCTGGGCCAACAGTTGAGCTGCTCACATCCACATCCATCCATAGGGCCTCAGGAAAACAGCTCCTTTGGCATCTGCCTCGAATCCTCTCTCTGTCCAGTCCAAGTAGCTTGGGGTACAGATATCTTTCTATGCCTTCCATTGTCCTTTTTGTCATTTCAGTACATGAAAAAATAAGCAAGCACTTCTCCCACATCTACCAGAAGACTGAGATCCCCCATATATCAGTTCAGACAAATAAACAATGACAGGTCTCAGGTTCAAATAGTAAAACTCTGTGTCCTCATCTGGACTTAGCTGGCGTCTTGCCACATATTTTAAGACAAATGGAAGTTTGTTATTCATTAGTAACATGATCTCAAAGAAAACTAGTTTCCTGTATATGTGTATGTTGGTGTTCCCTGAAGTAGCATGGGAACTTGTTTTTAATACAATTCTGCATATAGAATGAGATGAGAAAAGTCAGGGGGAAAAAAATAAGGAACTCAAATCCTTGCAATGTTCCTTGAGTATCTAAAGCAGAGAAGCTCTCTTAAATGTAAATAAATCAGGATGAAAATGGAAACATAGTAGAGTATTTAGCAGAACTAGATATAACTTTTCCAACACTAATTTACGATCAAAACTAAATGTTAAGTCCCTCCCTAGGACCTGCCAGGCACAAAGCAAAGTGTAAGGGCTGGGCCTGGACAGCTGTGTTTATGCCACATAACTTCTGTGCCCAGGTCTCTCTCTTTCTCTGTCCAAAGGTGATTCAGAAAAAGCCAATTTGTTGGCTGTTTGAAGATCATTCTCATTCTTGATTGTACACCATGAGTCCGTTTCTACTTAACTGTTCCAATCTGATTTCCCTTGGTTATGGTTGTAAGGTTAATAACCGGGCAACATGGATTCTGGTTCTAATTCTCCCTGAAACCATCTGAGTGATAGTAAAGTGTACAATTAACTGAGTTGGGCCTGTTTCCCCCATCTACATAAGAAGGTGTTCAGTCCACAGTTTCAAAAATCTCTCCTAAGCAAAATAGTGCATGAGATTTTGTGCTAGTAAAACAGAATATTCTCTGAGGTAGCTTTCAGTGATTTTGGCAGTGTATATGGTGTTCTCTGTTATACCAGTTTGGTATTGCATTAGAATGTCAATTACTACCTTAGTTCTAGACATGTTTCTTATCTTTTCATATATAGCTAAGGTGTACCTGTGAGGTGTGCTGTATCCTATTTATTAAAAAATATTATTTTCCCAGTAAAGTGAAGATTATGCTGAATTTAGAGGGTAAACATAAAATGTATAATAATAAAAAATCAACATGAAGTGCCTCTCTGAAAATATTATCCCAGCCTTGCATTGAACAGGATATATCAACCTGGATTCTTATGCCCACCAATGCCAAAGTACTACAGATACAGGCATGTTCAACTTGGCAAGCAAAACTGTTGATGCTTCTGCAAAGAAAGACTCTCTCATATTAACAGTCATAATATTTTACTTTGGAGTTGTATTTAAGCAACCTCATTATTTTGGAGGGCAGCCTGAGAAAGCCTTAAGAGTTTGACACTGAGTTTGAAGATATTTTCTCGTATGTTCGTGTGCAGATAACATTGTTCACAGAGCTTTCCTATAAGACAAAGAAAGGTGAAGTACTTCAGTATAATTGGGAAACTGACATTTGCTATCCATTCCTTAATAATATTGAAAGATATCTATATAGACTACAGATAGGACCTATCTGTTAGCTGGTTTTGCCATGTTCTATGTAACCTATACATGGGAAATCACATATGTGTGGTATGTATAGGGTATGTATCACATTTATGTATTTATAAAGCACGGTATACAATTTGGAATTTGAAGTTTTTATTTAAATATTTTAAATACCAACATTGATGCATTTTTGCTATTTTACATACTCTACATTTTCAAAGTAATAATACCAGCTTACATTGATGTAGTATTTTATGGTTTTCAGGGCACTAATATACACATGATGATATTTAATTCTCTCAGAAAACCTTTGGCAAAGACACTGTCTATATCTTAAAGGCAAGGAATCTGAAGAGATTAAATGAATTGTCCAAAGTCATATAAGTACTGAATGGCAGCGGTGGAAATCCACATCCTTGGATTCTGAGTGTAGTGTTCTTCCTAATGAACTATAAAACCTTTCTGTTTATTGGCTAATATCATTATAAACAGCAATAAAATCAATCATCCTTAGTCTTCACCTTGTGACTTCATCAGGAATAACATGTATTCTTCATTGTAGAAAGAAAAAATATCATTGTATTAAGAAATGAGATTAGATTTTTGTAACCTAAACACATATCTTGCATATTCCCTTAGAACTATTTTATATTATGTAGAACATTACCTTTTTATTCATTTTGGTGTAAGTAAGGGTTTGGGAGGAGGAAAATTATGAACACACATCCCTCTACTCTGGAGAAGTGGGGAAGATGACTTGGGAGGCCATCTGAAAGGGAGCAGGATGGATTCTATAAAACACAGATTTTTCAATGAAAACAACCTGACTTCTAATCCCAGTACCACCACATTTTTCTAGTTGTATATCCTTAGGTAAGTCAATGTCAGAATCTCAGTTTCCTCACTGTTAAATGGGATAATAAGCCTTACCTTATAGGGTTATTGTGGAAATTGGAGAAATAATGTATGAAAACATAGGAACATAGTAGTGACATGTGTTAACTCATTCGTACACCAAAAAAAAA